GTCGGTAGGAGATGGAGGTGTGGCTTGAGGTGGGAGGAGGGGATAGGTGGGAGGAAGAACAGGTTAGGGAGGCAGGGACGAGCTGGACTGGTTTTGGGATGCGGTGGGGGGAGGGGAGATTTTGAAACTTGTGAAATCCACATTGATACCATTGGGCTGCAGGGTTCCCAAGCGGAATATGAGTTGCTGTTCCTGCAACCTTCGGGTGGCATCGTTGTGGCACTGCAGGAGGCCCAGGATGGACATGTCGTCTGAGGAATGGGAGGGGGAGTTGAAATGGTTCGCGACTGGGAGGTGCAGTTGTTTGTTGCGAACCGAGCGTAGGTGTTCTGCAAAGCGGTCCCCGAGTCTCCGCTTGGTTTCCCCGATGTAGAGGAAGCCACACCGGGTACAGCGGATGCAGTATACCACATTGGCAGATGTGCAGGTGAACATCTGCTTGATGTGGAAAGTCTTCTTGGGGCCTGGGATGGGGGTGAGGGAGGAGGTATGGGGGCAGGTGTAGCACTTCCTGCGGTTGCAGGGAAAAGTGCCGGGTGTGGTGGAGCTGGAGGGGAGTGTGGAGCGGACAAGGGAGTCACGGAGAGAGTTGTCCCTCCGGAAAGCAGATAAGGGTGGGGAGGGAAAGATGTCTTTGGTGGTGGGGTCGGATTGCAGATGGCGGAAGTGTCGGAGGATGATGCGTTGGATCCGGAGGTTGGTGGGGTGGTACGTGAGGACGAGGGGGATTCTTTTTTGGTTTTTATTGCGTGGACGGGGTGTGAGGGATGAGGTGCGGAAGATGTGGGAGACACGGTTGAGGGCGTTCTCGACCACCGAGGAGGGGAAGTTACGGTCCTTGAAAAACGAGGACAACTGAGATGTACGGGAGTGAAATGCCTCATCCTGGGAGCAGATGCGGCGGAGGCGAAGGAATTGGGAATAGGGGATAGCATTTTTGCAGGAAGGTGGGTGGGAGGAGGAGTATTCTAGGTAGCTGTGGGAGTCGGTGGGCTTGAAATGAATATCGGTTTCGAGGTGGTTGCCCGATATGGAGACAGAGAGGTCCAGGAAGGGGAGAGAGGTGTTAGAGATGGTCCAGGTAAATTTAAGGTTGGGGTGGAAGGTGTTAGTGAAGTGTATGAACTGTTCGAGCTCCTCGTGGGAGCACGAGGCGGCGCCGATACAGTCATCAATGTAACGGAGGAAGAGGTGGGGTTTAGGGCCGGTGTAGGTACGGAAGAGGGATTGTTCCACGTAACCTACAAAGAGGCAGGCGTAGCTTGGGCCCATGCGGGTACCCATGGCTACCCCCTTTGTCTGTAGGAAGTGGGAGGAATTGAAAGAGAAGTTGTTGAGTGTGAGGACGAGTTCGGCTAAGCGGATGAGGGTGTCAGTGGAGGGGGACTGGTCGGGCCTGCGGGACAGGAAGAAGCGGAGGGCCTTAAGGCCATCTGCATGGGGAATGCAGGTGTAGAGGGACTGGACGTCCATGGTAAAGATGAGGTGTTGGGGACCGGGGAATTGGAAGTTCTGGAGGAGGTGGAGGGCGTGGGTGGTGTCACGGACATAGGTAGGGAGTTCCTGGACCAAGGGGGAGAAAATGGAGTCGAGATAGTTGGAGATCAGTTCGGTGGGGCAGGAGCAGGCGGAGACAATGGGTCGACCAGGGCATTCAGGTTTGTGGATTTTGGGAAGGAGATAGAAGCGGGCAGTGCGAGGTTGGGGAACGATGAGGTTGGAGGCCGTGGGTGGGAGGTCACCTGAGGTGATGAGGTTGTGGATGGTTTGCGAGATGATGGTTTGGTGCTCAGGGGTGGGGTCATGATCAAGGGGGCGGTAGGAGGAGGTGTCGGAGAGTTGGCGTCCGGCCTCGGCGATGTAGAGGTCAGTGCGCCATACTACAACTGCACCTCCCTTGTCCGCGGGTTTTATGGTGAGGTTGGGATTGGAGCGGAGGGAGCGGAGGGCTGCACGTTCTGCGGGGGAGAGGTTGGAGAGGGTGAGAGGGGTGGAGAGGTTGAGGCGATTGATGTCTCGACGGCAGTTGGAGATGAAGAGGTCGAGGGAGGGTAGGAGGCCTTGGGGTGGTGTCCAGGAACCTGTCTATCAAATCTGCTCTCAACTTTCTCTTTTGGAAAAGGAAATTAGTATGCAATCATTTGGCTGGGAGTTAACATGCAAAATGACAGAAGATTTTCTCACCTTGCATTGTGTAGCAGAATTGCATATCTGTTTTATAAAGAGGTGATTTAATAAGAGAGTTCTATTCCTTGGCACTGCCATTTCTTACCTATCCAAGCACAAAACTTCATTTTTTAAGTATTCTTGAAGTAAAAGTTTTGTTGAGGCAGTATGTGAAATAAGGGCTGCCCACAGATTGACAGGGAACATATTTTTACAGCACATGCTATATGCAATTTAGAGACCAATTGTTAATGTGTTAATGTTTTGGCTCTTTTCACCTGTAATTGAAGAAAGCATGTGTGGCTTAGCATTTTGCCAATAATTCTAGAAATTCCAATGTATCACTCCCATTTATGTAAAGTTTCTCGGGGTGGTTAGCATGTGCATTGTTGAAAATAGGTTTGACACATTCCATCCCTACCCAATGTGAAATACTGATTTGTAACCACAGGTCAAATGACGTGCCCAAAATCAATACTAACTCTCAGTATTTTTGTGGACCTTTATCCTTATTTGCTGGTTGTGTCAAATGTGTCAAAATCCTTTGGTGTCAAATACATGGGGATGGCGAGAAGAGTGACTACAAATGGATATTTTTGTCGTCACTCTTCTCGCCAATTGCTGGTTTAGCTGAATATTCATAAAATGAGAAAGTAAGAAACCAGCTTAAATACAAGGCAGGGCAAGAAAATATCTTGAAGAGTTGCTAAGCTGTCTACTTCTGAGAAGGCAGTTGCTTTCTTTGCTGCATAACAATTGCCTTTACCTCTTTGTAGGGAACGCTTCAAGAAATAGTTTGTCTGTCAGATGATCCTTCCCTCATTGAAGCTGTCTCCATCACAGTTTTTCCAATGTCCTGTAACTATTACTGTAGTCACTGCTCGTTTTCACCTTTACTTGCTGTTGCCTTCTAAGCTACAAATCCGTTAGTCTGATGTTTGGCAAGATCACTGATTGATGGCTCTGTTTGAGCAATAATCTGTTTTATAATAATGGCCAAGGCAAAGCAGCTGCACTCTTGCCTCTGTTGTTTTAGTGCCAGAATTGTGACAATGTGGTGGTCACCTGCTACAAGCTATTTGACTGGGAGAGGCTTCTACCCATCTTTCTCCCACTTACATCAAACCCAACCTAACATTGGGGTTAACAATTTCATAAATTCTTTGACCACCTTCACTGCATTGATATCAAAACTTATCGCAGGCTCTACTTTATTTTTCCTCAGCCTCAAAACTCCTTCCCACTCTCAGTCTTTTTGCTACAATGAACAGGCTTTTCAAACCCAAATATTTATCACCTAGTCATTGCTTTTTGGTTTAGCTCCTTTTCACTCCTACTTTACAAACAAAGTGCCGTTCGACACAGCTCATATCTTGGTCCTTCACCTGGACTTCACATCAGCACCTGTAAAGCATCTACAACATTCACAGGTATAGCATGCGGAGATGTCTGCAGGTGGCCCAACTCTCTTACAGAAAATAATTCTTGCAACAGGCTCTTTTAGCCTAGAGGCTTTCTTCTTTGACTGAACTTTTTTTTTATTCAGCTTTACAGGACAGCAGATGTTAGGTTTATGTCATATTATGTGGTCAATAGTTGCATAACAAATGAATTAATACATTAACTGAAAGTCCTAGAGTTAGAATTTAAGAACAAAATATTTTATAATGCATAGGAAAGTGTAATATAAAGCTCCCTTATCTAAAAAAGAAGGCTGTTTGATATAATCTGTCAGTCTTTTGGATATATGACCTACATATGTGGTATTAATCATCGTTAAAGGGTTTTTTTGTCCATGGTAAAACCTCTAACAATCATTTCTAATCAATCAGCTGTCTCCATGCTGTATACATGTTGGTTTTCCCCTTGAATTGGAATTCTTGCAAAGTATCCTGATGAATGCAAGACAAAAAGCTTCAGCAAAATGTGTCATTTTTCAGTGATTCTCAAGTTGTGGACTACCCAACAACTATGAATGACCAGAAAACTAGAAGCTTCCTTTCTTGAACTGTATTTTGCTTTTTCTCCAGGTAATAGATGGAACAGAATGTCAGCCATATAGCAATTCAGTATGTGTGCGGGGACGCTGTGTCAGGACTGGCTGTGATGGTATAATTGGTTCCAAGCTGCAGTATGACAAGTGTGGAGTCTGTGGTGGAGATAGTTCCACCTGTGTGAAAATATCGCGAAGTTTTACCAAGAGAAGGTAATTTGAACCAATACATTATGTCATAGTACGAGGTGAAAATTAGTGTCAATGATATTTTATGAGCCTTTAGTGTGTTTTGATATTAAATTTCCCTTTTGAAAGCATTAACATCAATGGCATCTTTCTAAGATCGTAGTTTATGAAATTAGAGGTCAATGATGGGTGTTATTGCTGGGTACTGGAACATATTGCTAGTTCTATTTTATCTAATTTTCCTCTTACCTCTACCCTTAGTTAATTTCTGCATATTTAAATCAGCACCTGCAGATTTCTAAAACCCTTTCCAAGCTAGAGTTCTTCATTTATGTGCCTAGGCTGTGACAGTTAGCAGTTATTTCACAATGGAATAGGAGATGATTAACGCTGTTCTTGTCCTAACCTGATACCTGTGCATGTGCATGTTCCAACTGTGCACAAGGCAGAATGATCCAAAGCAAAAGATCTAACTGTTCATTTTTTCTTTCACTGAAAAATTTACACTAATACTTGTGCTGAAAAACTCCCTTTAAATTTTAAACAGCGCTTTATTTAATCGGCATCTTAGCACTGAGTAAACTTTGGGAAACAAGATGGATGGGGAAAGCCATTAACAGGAAGGGATGTTAACAATCTGCTCAGTGCCAGTGTGGATCTGCTCCTTCGTGTTTAGTCAGAACCAATTTTAACTAGTTCAGCTTTTCCTTATGGGAAAGCAGCCTGTCAGTTTAACTTCCCAACAGACCCTAAACTCTCCTAAATTAAGGTTGAATGCTTGGATCAGACATCATCAAAAGCGCAGGAAGGTCAGTAGTTAGATGTATTTAAGATAAGTTAATGAGCGGTAATTGTCAGGAAGAGAGGAAATGCTGTTTACAAACCAGTCTCCAAATCTTCCAGCCCTGTCCTTATAGCTTCCTATTGACCTACGTTCCTCCAGTTATATTTCGTTACTTCAAGTGATTGCTGGAGTGGACCAGATGGTGTGGCACTAAGATGCAGTACAGTTCAGAAGGTTACAAAGTTACTTCATGTCCTGTGCAGAATTCACTGATCTCCAATACGGTGACATTGAGATACTAAATTTAGCCTCATCCATGAAGCTTCAACAAATTTGCCAGTGACATGGAGATCTGCCTGTAACTGATGACACTTCATTTGTCATGGCCATGACAAATGTTTACCTGACCAGTTGGAGCTGTCATTTCTGATAATGTTCTGCAACTTTGAAGCAGAAGTCACAATCCTGAGCAGTCTCTAGAGGCGCATCTTCTAATATTTGAACTCAGGATCTTCTGTTTACTAGGCAGGTGCTTGAGTTCACTAAGCAACAGCATCAGTTTTTTTTTCCTTTATTCATTCACTGGTTGAGGATATCACTGGTAGGCAGCATTTATTGCCCATCCCTAATTGTCCAGAGGGCAGTTATGAATCAACCACATTGCTGTGGATCTGGGAGTCACATGTAGGTCAGATCAGGTAAGGATGGCAGTTTCCTTCCCTAAAGGGTATTAGTGAACCAGATGGTCTTTTTTCCCCAACAGTTGGCATTGGATTCATGGTCATCATTAGATTCTTAATTCAAGATATTTACTGAATTCAGATTCTACCATCTGCCATAGCGGGGTTCAAACACAGGTTCCCAGAACATTCCTAGGTGTCTGGATTAACAGTCCAGCAATAATACCACTAGGTCATTGCTTCCCATCACTTGCTATGGAGGCCCACCTACTAAAACATAAATCCAGAACTGAGTCCAGCTGTTGTACATCTTACAGTCTGATAACCTGATAACTCACAGTGAGTGCCCATATATAAACAGTGATCACTAGGCCATTGCCAACATTCCTTGAAGTGTCATCATAAGTAGCATGTGAGGACTGAGCAGATATATGGGCCTACTTAATGATCTGAGTCTGCAAAGTCACTGGGTATGTATGAGTATAGGTGTGCATCTGACTAGTATTGGGGCACGTAAAACTGTATGAGAGATTAGATGATTGAGCTGGGCAGTAAAAGGGTTAAAGGATATTATAATGTCCCCAAGGCATTAAGGTGGTTCACAGTGGTTGATGTAATTGTAAAAGGCTAGCGCGCTATTTTGATAGTCTGCAACGTTAAGGCTAATTAAGGGAAGGGTTAAACACTGTTACACTCTGAGCAGGTCCGCCCTGGTGCACATTGGCCAATACAACAGTTTATGGAACAGACAGCTCCTATGGGTTGAATTTAAGGAAATTCCAGTGCTCAGAGGAATGCTATGAAAAATAAATGGCAGCAGTTTCAAACGGGTCTCCGCACTGTGGCAGACAGATTGATTGAAGCACCCAATTCCTTTCCGCTTGATTTCTAGTCTAAATGCAATAATTATCGAGACCACAAGGTCATCAAAGGTTGCAACATGCTCTGGTGCAATTCCAGTTTTGTCATGCTGAGATACATAAGGTTGAAAATTAAGAGACTTTCAAGATAGAGCCACAGAGATGATCGTCTCCCGTGTCTGAATGAAGGTCTGTCTAATGCTGTTAGAAATTCTGTTCACAAACACACAATCCAGATGTGCAGTCCAGCTACAGCGTCTCACACTGCCTCATAGACAGACTCGTGTTGGTCTGCTGACAGTCTCAAAAGCCAAGTGCTGCCAGCTGTTCAACACATTTAGTGTGTTCAGGTATAGAACAGCAGGTCAACTGACTCTCCCACTCTTCACTGGGGTACTCATGTTTGAGATGTTAACCACGAACCTTGCACTTGTATAGAATGTGACAGTGATTCCTGACATTTCTCTTGTTCTCCCTCAGGAGAACTCAAGAGGGATAAAAGTAAAAGTAGATACATTTGAAGCTATCCCGACATTCACAGTGTACTGAAAGGCTTCTACTAAGACTATAGCTTTGAGATTACAGTGGGCTCACTACATTTGTTGGCAGGTTCTTGTTCACTATTTCCACAAGTCATCTATTTGTTTTAAATGAATGCATGCTTTAAAGTAACTGAGATCAATAAAGGCTGGATAGGCTGGGACTTTTTTCTCTAGAGCATAGGAGGTTGTGAGGTGACCTTATAGAGGTTTATAAAATGATGAAGGGTATAGATAGGGTTAATGGTAAGTGTCCTTTCCCCACGGTGGGGGATTTCAAGACTAGGGGACATATTTTCAAGGTGAGAGGAAAGAGACTTAAAAAAGACATGAGGGGCAAATATTTCACACAATGGGTGGTTTAAATGTGGAATGAACTTCCTGAGGAAGTGCTGGATGCGGACACAGTTACAATGTTTAGAAGACATTTAGATAAGTACATGAATAAGAAAGGTTTAGAGAGATATGGGCCAGGAGCAGGCAGGTGGGACTAGTTCAATTTGGGATTATGTTTTGCATTGCTAGATGGACCGAAGAGTCTGTTTCTGTGTGTATGACTCTATGACTCTATCTGGTAAGTATTTATGTCGTCATATCGCATGCAGGAATTGTTAGGTTTGTAAGTTGTATATATTTATAGCTTTAGTTGAGAGCTATCACCATGGGTACTAGTAGATGACACAGCTTTGATTGACAGGTTGCTCTAATTAAATAGATCTGAACCAAAGCAATATTCAATTGTATAACTGTGCATCTTACATTGTAGAAAACACCAGAGCCCATATGTGTCTATTCCTCCACCCTTACATGAATATTATTTTGAGAGGAATATATTATGACCATGTGACAAGAAATAGGATGGTTATCCTCTTCTCCAACTCCTCATTTGACTGCAAGTTGCTTACAAATGCAGAGTTTTTTTATACTGTTTCTGTGCTGTGATCATCCACACACACCCTTGCTACTAAATAGATGCTTAAATAAACTGCAAATAAATAGCCAAATGCAATGGCTTAATGATTAGATGTTGTCTGGATATATTCCTTTTGTGGCTAGAGCCACATTGTCAAAATGATTGTGTCTAATGTTTTGTCTCCATTTAGTCGAGTTCCAAAGTGATTGTATGGATGCTTTGCTAATGGCCTGAAAGCCCCCATTCATACTTCTTTAAGGCAATTTATCCTTGAGAGGCTTTGCTGATGGACTGCCTACAATTTCAATGCCTCTGGAACAGAGATAGTAGCATGATGCCAATATTCAGCCATTTTTGTTTGTGATTTCAATCCTTGAATATGGCATCAGTTTGTTTTTAAAAGCTCAACTAGTGGCTTCCAACCAATAAGTTCGTGATGTCATTTTTTTACAAGGCATGGTTCAGCAATAAATAGCAAATCCTGAATACATTGTAGGAGAATAAGAAACCCTGTAATATATTGTAAAAGAATAACAAACCCTGTATATATTGTCAAGGAACAGAAGTGTAAGAGAAATTGTAATGGAATGGTGCACCTAGCTTATGTTACAGCATAACAGACTTTGTGTGTATTGTAAGAGAATAGAAAGATCACGTATGTTTAACAGGAAAATGCAATCCCCATTTTGATTGTAGGCCTTCAAAAATTGCATAAATCTTAAAAAGCAAAGAGAAGACTGTGTATATTACAGAGAAATAGTAAACTCTTGGCAATAATATGATCAGTCTGGCAAACTTCATCTTAATTTTATTTTGTTCCTTTAGTGTGGGTTACAGAGAGGTAACAAGAATCCCCGCAGGAGCAACACACATCAAAGTGCGGCAGTACAAGCCAAAGGGTCAGCAGCGGTTCACTGCCTATTTAGCCGTTAAAAGGAAGAATGGGGATTACCTCTTCAATGGCAAGTACATGATCTCAACTTCAGAAACAATCATTGACCTAAATGGCACAGTGCTCAACTACAGTGGGTGGAGCCAGAAGGATGATCAAATGCATTCAATGGGTTATGGCCCTTTAAAGGAGCCACTGATAATTCAGATCCTTGCCACCGATCCTGGGAAACCACTTGACGTGCGCTACAGCTATTTTATTCCTAGGAAACAATTGCCTTCAGCCAATGAAAATGCCATCAAGACTCTGGCTGCACAATCCAACCTTCTCAAGTGGGTAACAGGACCCTGGTTGTCATGTTCCAGAACCTGTGATACAGGCTGGCAGACCAGAACTGTTCAGTGCAAAAACGGATATGGGAAACTGACGAAGGGGTGCCACCTGTCCCAAAGACCCTCAGCGTTTAAACAATGTTTTCTAAGAAAATGTTAATGCACTATTGTTCAGTAAGATTTTTTTTATTATGTCATTCTGTTTGGTGTTGTCTTAATCTAAAATGAAAACATACTTGGAGAAAAGGAGGGAGATGACTGCTAGCATGACTTGGCATAAAGCAGACAACAATGTCAGGTTGAGAACAACCAAAGTGAGTAAGTGCACATTGGTACTGCACCACAATGGGAGACCTTCAGATGCATTGCCCCAAACTAGTGAGAATGGGAAAGTAGAAGATGACACCAACCGGGATGATGCCTACCTCAGATGCATCCCTCACCTGTATGGAAATGAGATCTATGGAGCCACCCTTTCCAGAAATACAAGCTGGTGCATTGATTGTACAAATCGTTCTGACCCTCCCAAGGAATCTGATGTCTGATGGTCCAGCACAAACCTGCCTTGTGTTTCAGGATTTGTCTTGCTCTGCTTGCTTCTGACTGTTTAGTTGGACTGATTCCAAGGTGTTCAATTGTGATAGTGCACAGAGCAGAGCATTCTCACTCATTCATTCACGCCTGTGCACATGATGGTAAAGGAAGCCAGCTGGCTGGTGAAAGAGTTTCATGTATTCAAGAATAGAATGAAGAACAATTATGCTGATGAGCATGCAGCATTGTGTGGAGCCTGGGAGGAACTTGTGCCACCATGATTGCATTGTCTTGTTAAAGTGTTTAATGATATTATCTCTCTGCAATGATTAAATGGCAGAGCAGATTTGGGCCGAATGGTCTAGTTTCTGCTCCTATGTCTTATGGTCCAATACCTAAAGGAGATGGTTAACAGTCCTAGTGGACTCTTGTAACAAATCCTTGAATGAAATATGATACAATTCCGCACAGTAATAACAAATCTGATGCAACACAAGAACAAAGAGTAAAATAGCAGTGCTGTTTGGAAATGTATGCACAAGGGGAAGCTGGTAAAATAATTCCATACAACTCTATACCCCTGATAGATTCAGGGCCAGACTGCCTCATTCTAATGCCCACCAGAACTCCCAAGAAAAGTTTCTAGCCTGGGACCTTTCACTAAAATTTAAATATGTAACACAGAAATATGGATTTTGTGAAACATCCAAATTAATATCAAGTTACAACTTTCACTTGATTGAATATCTGATCAAAAGTTAAATCATACGCCCTGACCCTAGTTATATTCCTTGTCTTTTGGATTAATATTGCAATAAGGCAAATGGAACCACAGAGGAAAGAACAAGTTTGTGTTTTTTTGTCTGAAAGAGAAGTGGTTTGCTTCGTGCACATACTTTCACAGTACTGTATTCAAGATATGACATAACCCGGCAGGAACAAGACTTTAATCATTAATGTGGTGTTTCAACTGATACAGTTTAAGGTTGCCACTTGGGAATTAGGGGAAAAGAAAGGGAATGGGCTCAGAGCCCGAGTTCTGATATTTGCTTTGCTCAAAATGTAAGTTCATCAGTTACCTTGAAATCAGCGCTAACTAAATGTGCTGTAGCACAGGAGGCAGCTATTAAGGGGGATTTAAAAAATGTACAGACTTCCTACCGCCATCCCAAAAAAAATGTATGCTCCAAGGCTGGAAAAGTGACAGTCTGAATCCAAAGGGAAAAATATCCGAATGAATCTGTGGTTTGCATCTCTGGACTTGCTGAAGGTTAGCTTCAGAGGTCAGTAGGTCATTCAGACGATGGGTTTACTGGCTGCTCCTCTGGTCAATTCTGTGATTTTAGAAAAGGACAACTGGTGTTTTGCTTTAAACTGAGTTGAACCTTATTCATGATCCACACACTCACAACTTAACCGCCTACAATTTCCATGCCAGCAAACCAGTGCTAGGATCTACCTAATCAGAAATTATTTGCAGGCAGGAGAATGTGCAATTTTATAAATAGAGTGTTAATTTCCGAGTTTCAGTCCCCAATCTCAAGTGAAGCTCAGTTATCAGGCCTATTCTAAATGGGTCAAATCTCGCTGTCACCCTCCCCAATGACTGTATTGATATCCATTCTCAGGATGGGCTCATTGCTGCCAAAGCCACATTTTAAGCTATCCCTATTTGCCATAAGAGAATGGTGGTGCTGGCAGGTCTCCTATTGTTTCCTTCAGCAGAGAAGTGTGCTATGTCACTCAAGAGTCAACCAATTTAGTGTGAAGTTGGAGTCATAACAGGCTAGCTTGGGTAATTAGAGATAGCTTCCTTCTCTGAAGTATGTTATTGATTTAATACATTTGTCAGATCGTCTAGCACCTTCATTGTCATGTGTGCCTACCCCAACTTTACATTTTTCCATCTCTTATCAACTGAATTCAAATTGGCAGACTATCAAGGGGAAATTTTGATCTCATTATTTGTTTTATTATTCCAGAAGTCTGTCATTAATAACCCACTAACATAACCACTCCACTAAATGCACAAAGTAGTACTGAACAATACAAGCTGAAAAGTGTCAGCTTTAATCTTTAATTACGCGTAAACAGTTGATCTCAGATCTCAGAACAGTCATGGATCAGAAAGGATCATTCAGTCCATTGGAGATCATCTCTCCTTGGGCACTCACCCTCCCAAGGCTACCATGTAACTGCATTTTGAACTCTACTAATATATTCATCTTCCTAGCAAGTTTTTCCAATCATGTATAAACCTGTATGTAAGGAATTTCCTCCTTAGTTCAGTGAAAATATGAGTACAGGTCTCAATTTGCCCAGGCAAAGGAGAGAAAGTGTTGGCATTTAGAATCAGAATGAACCTAATTGAGTAAATGGCCTCAATAGATGGCACACTCAAAAATAATTTATCAGGGCAGGTTGGAATGAGTCAGTCACCCCTCCCTGTCCTTCCTGTCTTCCGTAGTACAATGGCCTTACACACTTCTAGTATCACTAGTTGATTTTTGTGTGTGCCATTGCTGCAAATTATTACTTGGTTTATGTTACACTTTTGTCTGGTACAGCAGAAGGGAAACCAACACCTTCGACCACTGTTGATGGCAGTTTTCTGTGGATTAGTCTCCAATTTCAAACAATGCTTCCGAAAACCATGAGGCACTAAGTGCCTTTTCATAAGACCCTGCCTAAATGGATTGAATTGTTAACCAATTTATTTTCCATGGAAACAGAATTCAAACATAACCTAATCAGAAGGTTCATTGGTAGTTATGGTATGACATAAAACATCAGTGTATGTTGCTCAGGTGTTGAGGCCTATCTCTGCTCTCAAAGGGATCCTGACAGTATGTGAAATAGAGCAAAGTATTCCTAAATGTCTCTATACAGAGATGTGTTAACCAAAATACCACCTCTTCCTTTACTCGCTGTTTATACAAAGTTCATAACTTTTAGAATCTAAACTTTTTTAGTAATGACAGATTCAATTTTGAATTGGAAGTCTCCCACAGTACAGCTAAATTAAAAAAAGATTGCCCCCAATCTGAACAGTAGTTACCTGGTCTCACTTAGGAATCCTGGAAGAGAAATTGGCTCAGCTTTCCCAGGATAAAGTCTGGAAATTCAACCAGAGCTCTAATGCTTTGTTAATAGCATTTGTATTGTCAGTGCTCAGATTCATATATAATGAATAGTCACTGATTTAAAATTTCGTTTAGAGGTGGTCTCAGTCAACAGGAACATCTTTCAAGACAGCAACCAGTTCGAAATTTTGGGTGACATTAGAAGGACACAAAATCATTGACAGTAAAAACAAGAAAATTTTGGAAAAAACCTACCTTGTCTGGCAACATCTGTGAAGAGAGAAATGAATTAACATTTTGAGTCTCATACTGACTCTTCAGAACTGGACAGAGTTGGAAAATTGTTGTTAATAGAATTGTTGCATGCTGTAGACAGAGGAGGGGGTGGAGGACCAAGTTAAACAGATCGTGAAAGTACTCAGGGCCAAAGACAAGGAAGTTGCTAATAGCAGTGATGGAAAGATAAAGATGTAAAAAGGGTTTAATGAAGGTATGAAAAGAGAAAAATGGGTCCTCCCTGTCGACAGCCTGTCTAGCTGTTAATCACCCTGTGGATCCTTCCATTACTTCACACTATTCTCAATGGGAAGAGTTTGAGGATACAATAACAACAACATCCAGAAGGTGTCTATTGCTTTCAAGGAAGAGAAGAAGGGAAGGGGAAAAGCTGAAAAGGACAGGAAAACAAATCAGCTATTTAGAATTTGACATTTTTAATGTTATTTGATTGCCAATAGGTCAGGTATACATTTGATTCTTTAGCTTATTGTTACACAAAAGTCAAAATTATTTATCGTTTAACATTTAAACATTCATTTTCCTGTGGAAACTGTCTAGTGACACATTTGGCACATGTTATAATAGGGCAGCTCTAATCCCAGCAAAGACCATATGATCCCAAGTAGGACAAAAAACTCCTTCTATTCTCAGGGGACAGTATAAACTGCCAATTCCAAACCCAGTATGTTGGCCCAGATATGAGGAATAAGGTGAGATGATGGAAAAAGGGGAAGAGTGCTATTGGTCTCCCTTTCGATCCTAAATTCACTCCTGGAGTGACTTGAGCCACACGAGAACAAAGGGATCCTTCTTGCCCACTGCATGGTCCTAGGAGAAGCCATAGAGTGGGTTGGGCTTGTCCATTCATTAAATAAAATGGTATTATTCTGAATTCTACCATGTGTACCACCCTTATTCATTTACTCAGCTGGGCCAATGGAATCAAAATGACCAGAAACCCATTCTGCATCTTCAGTTCTATCATTCCCTATTGAACTGGGGAATCGAGGAGATAATCCTTTTCTACTATGTATAGATTTTAATTGGGTCTCCATTATGAGGGAGAAAACATTCCAATGTAAATTTAAATTGTGAAAATGTTTAAGGCACAGCACTGAAATAATTTATTTGTGTTAGTACAACTGGTGTGAATTTGATGTAACAGTTTTATTTATTGTTATTTAATATGGAGAACACCCATCATGCAATTTTTTTTGAAAAAAGAATTGCTACTGTGTTCTATTATACAACTGTTTAATTTATGCTTCACTCCTAAGGTGAAAGTTCACTATATTTTTTAAATATGTATGTTTACGTAATGTATAGCACTGGTTGCTTTGTGTACTGTTGCATTGTGCTCTTTCCTTGTGTAATTATTCAGATGTTTGCATTCCTCATGAGGGAAGTTGCGCTTGTCTTTTTTAAGAAAAATTATTAATTGACTGAGTCAACATGTCAAAAGCATTTTAGTACTTGTTTTAAAAGACGTAGCAGTTGTGTACTGCATATTAATCATGTCTCGAACAAAAATGCAAACATTTGCGGGATTACAGGGACAGGACAGGGGACTGGGACTAGCTGATTTACTCTCACAGAGTGCTGACACAGATCCAACAGGCTTCCTTCTGTGATGTAACCAGTCTGTAATTCTAAGAAGTACTTTTATCAATTATTTTAAGCACATCAGTAATATTCTGTAACATACTGTAACAATAATCATGTTGTCTGTATAACTAATGCTAAAATTCACTTTTGTAATGTGTGTAAATTATATATTCAAAATGCAATACCACAGTCCATAATTAATACTGGTGTTGTTTTGTTTAATATTTGAAGTTAAGAAAAAAATTTCAATATTCAATTTCCATTCAGAAGTTTAATTCTTTCCTCTATCACATCTATCTCAAGAACAAAGAAACATGAAATCTTTGCTTTAAAGTAACTATTTTAGTTGATAGAATTGAAGGAATATAGTAAAGACAAACCCTTCAACCCTTGTAAAGCTAACTATAAGATTTAACACAATGTGCATATGTACATATGGGTCTATATGTGTCTATGTCTCTATGAGCAGGACTTCCATTACCTCCTATTATAGATTATACCTGCCTCCTACGGTTGATGATGGAAAGTTGGTAGATAATTCCCCAAATTTTGTTCTTAACATGTACATTGCAATCGAGGTTCAAGCAAAGAACTGAAGGAAAATCGTTTTGCGAATATAAACTGGAAGTCATTTAGTTTATCAAGAAAAGGTGAGAAAGAAACACGTTCTATTTATTTATGATTTTCATGAATTCAGAATGCACAAAATCTACAAGAAATAGCGGAAGGCTGTGAATTCTGCAGCCAGTAATTCCTAATTTCCCAAAGCCTGTCCACCAGCTGCAAATCAGGAGTTTGATGGAATACTCCTCACTTGCCTGAATGAGTGAAACACTTAAGAAACTCAATACCATCCAGCACAAAGTCTGTTTTGCTGAACCCCATTCACCATTAATCACTTATTCCACCACCAACACGCAGTGGCAGTAATGTGTACCATCTATAAGATGCAGAGCAGCCACTCACCAGTGCGCCTTCGACAGCCTTTCAAACCCTCAACCGCTAGCACCAGGAAGGACAAGGACAGTAGATGAATAGATACAAGTTTACATCCATGTTACACACCATCCAGACTTTATTGTTTCTTCACCTATGCTGGATCAAAATCCTGAAGATCTCCTTCCTAACTGCATTATGGATGCACAAGCACGAAACAGACTGCAACAGTTCAATAAGGCAGCTCACCACCTCAAGGGCAGTTAGGTTGGGCAACGGATGCTGATTTAGCCAGCACTGCCTCATCCCATGAAAATAAATAAAGGAAACTTCATTGGCAAAGATTTGTTTTTTGGAAGTGAAAGTCAGAAGCTGATTTGTACATGGCAAAGTTCCACATAGATCAATTGTGAGATAACTCCACAGGGGCCAGTATCCCATTACCAAGTAACCCTTTATTTACACATGGAGCAACTGTAACACAGATCCAATTCCCTGAAAACCAGCCCTGAAAGTGAACAGGCTGTCTGACAGTTCTGTCCTTATCTGTCAACAAGGGCTCCCTGATTGGACCAGATAAACAGACTCAATCAAGGAGTTCATATTCTGTGGAGTCCACTTGGCTGACCTCGTTACAATCACTACAAATTGGATAAGTGACTAGATAATCTGTTTCTCATGGTTTGAGGAATAAATGTTAGACCACCAGAGAATTCTTCTTTCTCATGGAAAGAAATGACATTTATTTAGCTACTTTTGTTACCTCAAGTCATCTCAAATTGATCTCAATCAGTTAAGTGCTCTGAAGTGCTGTTACTTCAGCCTTGGAAAGGTTAGCTGTTTGCACCCTGCGAAATTCCATGAACAACGATTTAAATGATCAGTTACTCATGTTTCACCAATTTTAGTTGAGGGATAGTTGTTAATCTAGCCACCAGAATAACTCCTTTGCTCTAATCTGGGAGCAGCTGCAACCTGCATTTAATATGTAACTTAAAGTTGAGATCTGCAACACTGCAATACAGCTCCGTCAATGAAGTGCCAACTCAGATTATGCACTTAAACTAGCAGAATTTGACTTGAATCCATGATCTACTGGCTCTAAGGCAGCATCTCATTACCTGTGCAAGCGTTGAAGCCGAGTAGGCAGGGAATTCCTGCAAGTGGCTTTTTCGGTCAATCTCCCTGAAGTGTTTGTTTGACTGGCAGTGTTGACGTGCCCAGCAATAGCCAGCAGCAAATTAAAATCAGTTAGAGTGCTCACTTGGGAGAGAGCTGATAATGCCAGTGGGAGCTTTTGGCTGGTGAAAGGGCCATTCACCAAGACTGCTCATTGTCTGGTGCAACTGAGCCAGGGGATCAGTGATGCCCCCTGTAAAATCTCCCCACAATGCACCTGCAGCAATCAGAGGCCAGAACTGGAATAAAGGTGTAAAGTGTTTCCCATTGCATAAGGAATCATACTTATTTTCACTAACTTTAGAAGCCTTCAGAAGACATCTCCATCACCAAGAACCCTCTCCCTTTTGCCTACTCACATCAGTAGCATGCAGCCGTCCCAGTAGAGGTGCCAACCGTCTCCCACCGCTTGTGTTCCTTAGTGGGCTGAGGCTCTCAAAAGCAGCATGTTAATGGGCCACCTCTGGGAAAATTACACAAGCTAATGGAACCTAAACATCATCAGGGCCAGGTTCACCTTGAACTAAAAACAATGTTGGTAAAATTCCACCCAAAAATGAATTGCTGCTACTAAGTCAAGAGTGGTATTCTTTATATCCACCGAAAAGAGGAAGTCAGGTCCTGAGTTCGACATCTCATCTGAAAGACAGGCAGCTGCAGACATCCAGGACTCAATACTAGAGCGAAGTGTGAACCCTGATTATGCATTTAAGTTTTTTTTAATGGGTTTTTGAACCCTCAGCCTTTTGAATAAGTGACAGCCCTAATATTGAACCAAGGCTTGTGCTGGAGCTGAACACCGTAAGTTAAAGCAACTGTACAATGGTGCAGTACTTCCTGCAAAACCTTATCTATCAGAAAGTCTGGCAGAAAATCAAGAAGGAAGTAATTGAGGTTGTACAAATAACTCTAGTCACATTATTTTGCCAAGATGGGGAGTCATTGCTGAGGCATCTTGAGTCCTCATGTCTGCACCAAGATCTCTTAAATCAATATAGTGTGAATTTTAAGCAGAATAAAACTCCTTCTGTTCTGTCACAGCATACACCACAGAAGTGGCAGTGTCCCTATCTGTGACCAAAGGTTTAAGTTTCATCTGCTATGTCTTCTATCATAACATATCGAACATATTGATTAAATATGACTACACCTTAGAAGTAACCTCCCCATTGCACCAGTATGATATTTGGCTTCTTGTTTCATTTTTCACGTGACCTTGATAACAATGGAAGGCTTTTTCAAGTATCAAGGGCCATCATAGTTGAACTTGTGTTGTCCTCACTTGACCTCCTCATAACGTTCACTTTCTGAAAGAGGGTTGCTGGATAATGATCAAAAGAAGAAACTTAGATTCGCCAACTGATTGGTGCACATGACTGCTACTCCAGCTAAGCTCAGAAATAGTGAGGTAGCACACCTGGGACATTTGACACCACGTGTATTTCTTGGGCAATGCCTCTATTCATCAGGCAAACAGGAGGATCATACTGAGGATCAGAGAAAGAAATATGTTGGATCATTTTCCCTGTCACATACCGGAAGATATTATGGAGTACCTTTCATGTAGTTTTCAGCAATTCCAAATCACTGACTATCATCGGGGTTCCCAACATCCAATACCTACTATGTTGAGCTGGAGAACTATCTAAACACATTGATATATTTCAATGTTCACTGGAATCTCCAATGCTATGACGAACCAAGCTCCTATTCTGCATCAAGATGGAATCTCTGTCCATGTTATCAAAGCCCTAGTTTAGGGTAACTATGGCACTGGTCCACAGGCGGGCCAAACATACAACAGCTAGCAGAGCAGGCTGTAGCATCTCCCTTCAGGAGGAAGGGAATGTTATGAAGATGATGCTGTGGCCCAGTTATTATTGTATGCTTTCGAGCAGGCAGACGTTTTGCTGAAGGTCTGAAACAAATGTGGCTGTCAAATTTGCAGTGATATGAGACCACGATAAGACTGAAACCCAGTCAGCAAAGACCAATTTTCACTACAGCAGAGAATAGTTGTCAGAATGCTTTCGGTTAAAGGTGGTGCCCAATTTAACGGCAATGGATGGGGATCTTGGATTTTGTGGGACTTCATTTTCCAAAGGTGTCATCGCTATATAACATAGGTACATTCTATCTCTGTTAACTAGGATGGGACTTTGACATTTAACTTTGTCAATCAAAAGGAGCTGAAATTTCCTAAATATTTTGCTGAGATTTCATTTTTCTTACTAGAATACTGGTTCCTGTTTTTATCAGCTCCTTTTTTCTCACATCTCATCATAACCTCTATTGTTTAACTTATATCATTTTTGTTTTGTTCCAGTTCTCAGAGCAATGACCTAGGCCCGACCATCTGCAGTTGCTTCATCAATGACCTTCTCTCCATCATTTGGTCAGAAATGGGGATGTTTGCTGATGATTGCACAATATTAAGCACCACGTGCAAATCCTCACATCCTGAAACAGCTAGTATTCAAATATTGCAATACCTGTGTAACACTCAGGCTGATGAGTGATAAGTAGCATTCAAATAATACTCATGCCGTAAATATACCAGACAATGAATATATCCATCCAATCACTGCCCTTGACATGGAAGACTATTGATGATTCCCCTCAATCAACATCATGCTTTTGACCAGCAACTTAACTGAACCAGACATGTGAACACTGTGACTGCAAGAGCAGGTCAGAGAATAGGAATTCTGCAGCAAGTAACTCATTTACTTCCTCCCCAAATCCTGTCTGCCAACTATAAGGCACAAATCAGGAATGCAATGGAATACTTGCCATTTGCGTGGATGATTGCAGCTCTAGAATCATAGAGTCATAGCAATGTACAGCATGGAAACAGACCCTTCAGTCCAACTCATCCATGCCAACCAGACATCCTAAATGAATCAAATCCCATTTGCCAGCATTTTGCCCATATCTTTCTAAACCCTTCCTATTCATATGCCCATCCAGATGCCTTTTAAATGTTATGATTGTACTAGCCTCCACCACTTCCTCTGGCAGCTCATTCCATACATGCACCACCCTCTGCATGAAAAAGTTGCCCATTAGGTCCCTTTTAAATCTTTCCCCTCTCACCTTAAACCTACACAGTCCAACTTTGGACTCCCCACACCAAGGAAAAGACTTTGTCTATTCACCCTATCCATGCCCCTCATGATTTTATAAAGTCTGACACCCAGGGAAAATAGCCCCAGTCTATTCAACCTCTCGCTACAGCTCAAACCCTCCAACTCTGGCAACATCCTTGTGAATTTTTTCTGAACACTTTCAAGTTCCACAACATCCATCCTATAGCAGGGAGAATTGCATGCATTATTCCAATAATGGTCTAACCAACGTCCACAACATGACCTCCCAACTCCTATACTCAATGCATTGACCAATAAAGGCAAGCATACCAAATGCCCTCTTCACTATCCTATCTACCTGTGACTCCGCTTTCAAGGAACAATGAACCTGTACTCCAAGGTCTCTTTGTTCAGCAACACTCCCCAGGACCTTACCTGTGGTTCTATGTTCTATGTTCTATGTTCTATTACCATTAAGTGTGTAAGTCCTGCCCTGATTTGCCTTTCCAAACTGCAGCACCTCATATTTATCTAAATTAAACTCCTTGTCCCATTGGCCCATCTGATCAATATCCCATTGTATTCTGACATTATCTTCTTCGCTGTCCATTATACCTCCAATTTGGATGTCATCTGCAAACTTACTAACTATACGTCCTATGTTCACATCCAAATCATTTATATAAATGATAAAAAGCAGAGGACCCAGCACCGATCCTTGTGGCACACTGCTGGTCACATGCCTGCAGTCTGAACAGCAACCCTCCACCACCACCTTCTGCCTTCTATCTTCGAGCCAGTTCTGCATCAAAATAGCTAGTTCTCCCTGTATTCCATGTGATCTAACCTTGCAAGCCAGTGTACATTGAGGAACCTTGTCGAACGCCTTACTGAAGTCCATATAGATCACGTCCATTGCTTTGCCCTCGTCAGTCCTCTTTGTTACTTCTTCAAAAAACTCATTCAAGTTCGTGAGACACGATTTCCCACACACAAAGCCATGTTGACTATCTCTAATTAGTCCTTGCCTTTCCAAATACATGTAAAACCTATCCTTCAGGATTCCCTCCAACAACATTTATATTAATGATCTGGATGTGAATATATATGGCATGATTAGTAAGTTTGAGGATGTTACAAAATCAGGAGATATCGTTGATAGAGAGGAAAGTTATCTAAAATTACAGAGGGATCTTGATCAGATAGGATTGGCAAATACAATTCAATACAGATAAGTGTGAGGTGCTGCACTTTGGAAAGTCAAACCAAGGTAGGACTTATACAGTAAATGGTAAGGTCCTGAGGAAGGTTGTGGAACAGGGCGGCCTGGGAGTACAAGGACATGATTCGTTAAAAGCTTTGTCACAGGTGGACAGGGTGGTGAAGAAGGCATTTAGCATGCTGGCCTTCATTAGTCAAGGCACTGAGTATAGGAGTTGGGATATTATGTTACAGTTGTATAAGTCATTGGTGAGGCCGCACTTGGAGTATCGTGTACAGTTTTGGTCGCCTGTTACAGGAAAGACATAGCTAAACTGGAAAATGTGCAAAAAAGATTTATGAGGATGTTGCCAGGACCAGCAGGCCTGAGTTGTAGGGAGAGGTATATAAAATCATGAGGGGCACTGATAGGATGAATGCATATAGTCTTTTTCCCAGGGATGGGGAATTGAAAACTAGAGGGCATAAGTTTAAGTTGAGAGGGGAAAGATTTAAGAAGGACCTGAGGGGCAACTTCTTCACGCAGAGAGTGGTGCGTATGTGGTATGGGCTGGCAGATAAAGTGGTGCATGGATGGGAAGGGTTTAGAGGGATATGGACCAAATGCGGTCAATTGGAACTAGCTGAGTGGGCACCATAGTCAGCATGGACCAGTTTGTGCCAAAGGGCCTGTTTTCACACTGTATTACTCTATGACTCCATAACTTGCCCACCACCAATGTCAGGCTCACTGGTCTATAGTTCCCTGGCTTTTCCTTACCACCTTTCTTAAATAGTGACACCACATTAGCCAACCTCCAGTCTTCCAGCACCTCACCTGTGGCTATTATTGATGCAAATATCTCAGCTAGGGGCCCAGCAATCACTTCCCTAGCTTCCCATAGCATTCTAGGGTACACCTGATCAGGTTCTGGGAATTTATCCACCTTTATTCGTTTTAAGACGTCCAGCACGTCCTCCTCTGTAATATGGACACTTTTCAAAAGGTTATTTCCCCACATTCTCTATCTTTCATATCCTTCTCCATAGTAAACACTGATGCAAAATATTCATTTAATATCTTCCCAATCTCCTGCGTTTCCACAAATAGGCAGCCTTGCTTATCTTTAAGGGGCCCTATTCTCTCCCTAGTTATCCTTTTGTCCTTAATGTATTTGTACAATCCCTTTCTTTTTTTCCTTAATCCTATTTGCCAAAGCTGTCTCATGTCCCCCTTTTACCCTCCTGATTTCCCTCTTGAGTGTACTCCTACTGCCTTTATACTCTTCAAGGTATTCACTCGATTTCTGCTATCTATACCTGACATATGCTTCCTTCTTATTCTTAAACAAAATGTCACTTTCTCTAGTCATCCAGCGCTACAGGTTTAATGGCTTTCAGTAGAGCACTGCTGACAATTTCCCATGGAATAAATAGTTTCAACTTTAAAGCAATTATTGGAGTTGGAGTTAGTTTTAACATTACACATTTATTATATTGTAAATCTACTAGCCCTCGACTTTAATTCTAAGCAGGCAATGGGTAGCAGAAATTAATGCCGCAGTGTGTAAGGAAGCAGGACTGGCTTTCAGAATTAATTCTGCATTTGTCAACAGGCCTCACTTTTGCCCAGACCACCCCAAAAACATGGGCTTAACTTTTTCAGCTTCCTCTTTCCATTAAGTGTTCATCAACTTTTATCCTGTGAGAAAACCACAGTGGCTTTTGTGCTTAGAAATGCTAAAATTGAAATCAGGTTCCTGAAGTTTAGCACCATCTGAGACAAAGCAGTACACTTGCTTGGTACCGCTTCAATGTTCACTCCCTCCAAACCAATGCATAGTGGCAGCAGTGTGTGCCATACCCACCAAGATTTCTTGACAGTACTTTCTAATTCTATGGCCTCTTCCAGCTAGAAAGTTTAGGGCAGCAGTTGCATAGGAACATTGTCACCTTCCAGTTCTCCTCAAAACTACACCAAATTCATCTGGAACTCATCCCCATTCTTTCACTGTCGCTGAGTCAAAATCCTGGTGCTCCATTCCTAATAGCACTGTGGGTCTACCTACACCATATGGACTGCAGCAGTTTAAGAATTCAGCTCACGCCCACCTACTCTTAGGCAACTTAGAATGCACATAGTCAGCAACACCCACGTCCCATGAATGAATTTGAAAATTAGAGTACAATATTCCCTGAAAACTATTCTCTCCATCATAAGTCCACAGTCCCATTTCACTGTATCTTTTCTTTATTTTGTTAAGTTTGGCTAGCCTAATGAATTGAGGAATGGTGTAGCATCTCAGTTGAATGCACATCCTGTTCCATCTGGGACTTATATCAGGTTCCAGGGAAACATGTGTGCAAGGCCTGTTAATAGCTGGAGCAGATAGACTTCTAGCTTCCAATGTTTGAGGGCAGATGGTATTGCTGTGCTGCCAACATAATGGAAGATCACCCCACAGCTTAAATGCAAGCACACAGAGAGGGACAAGGTGACTGTCAGGTAGTTAAGAAGGACAAGAATGCATAGCGTCTTACAGTCGCATGGCATGGAAAAAGACTCTTTAGTCCAACTCGTTTGTATTGACCAGGCATCCAATCTGACCTAGTCGCATTTGGCAGCATTTGGCCTATATCCCTCTAAACCTTTCCTGTTTGTATACCCATCCAGATGCCTTTTAAATGTCGTAATTGTACCATCCTCCACCACTTCCTCTGTCAGCTCGTTCCATACATGCACCACCCGCTGCATCTCCATTTCTAATCATTATTCGGTTCTGAAGGTTGGTGATAGTTCTAGTTCGTCAGGGAATGCAATCAGAGTCACATGTGTGACACCCAGCTGCACAGCAGGGGAAGAGAAAGATCCGGAAAATAATAGCAACAGAGGATTCAATAGTTAAGGGAAATAGCCAGATGTTTCCATTGTCGCAGACATGATTCCAGGATAGTTAAGCATGTTACTGCAGAACATTCTGAAGGACAAGTCTGAAAATCTATTTGTCATGTTCCATATCACCTTACCAATGAAATAGTAGAAAGAGGTTATGTCAAAGTCTCGTAACACAACTTTAGGAAACTAGGAAAGAGACAATAAAAGCAAGACCTCTTAGTTATAATCTCTGGATTGTTCCCAATGCATTCCGTTCATGAGTATGGTTAAAGCAAATTTTATATGTTTTGACCAAGACACCTCTTACTGTTCTGAACTCCAGCAGTTACAAGTCTAGCTTGTGCAACTTTTCCTTATACGACAACCAGCACACATTTCAGGTAAAAGTCTGATAAATCTTCTTTAAACTGCTCCCATGCATTTACATCCATTCTTACATATAGAGGCCAATACTGTACACAATACTGCAAATGTAGTCTTACCAATGGCTTGAAACATAATCTCAATATTTTCGTATTTGGTTCCACTGGCATAGAAGGATAATATTCTATTTGTTTTTCTAATCATTTGCTTTGCCAACTTAACAACATTTTGGGGTTCATGTACCAACTCAGCCAGATCCCACTGCATCTCAGAGCTCTATGACCTCTCACCATTTAGATAATACGCTTCTTTTTTATTCTTCTGCCCAAATGGATAATTTCACATTTTCACATATTATGCTGATTTTCCAGATCATAGATGACAGAAATATTTTCCCAGAATTTCAAGTGATCTATTTTTGAGAAGGAGAAATTGAAGGAAATTAGTATTACTCAAAAATAAAGCGCTAAAAAATTAACAGGGCTGAAATTAATGGGGCAGCATGGTGGCTCAGTGGTTAACACTGCTGCCTCACAGTGTCAGGGACCAAGGTTCAATTTCCTTGAGTGGCTGCCTGTGTGGAGTTTGCATGTTTTCTCCGTGTCTTTGTGAACTTGTGCCAGGTGCTGTGGTTCCCTCCCACAGTCCAAAGATATGCAGGTTAGGTGGATTGGCCATATTAAATTGCCTCATAGTGTCCAGGGATATGTAGGCTAAATGGATTAGCTATGGGAAATGCAGGGTAACAGGGACAGGGCTGGGTCTAGCTGGGATGTTCTTTGGAGGGTCAGTGCAGACTCAATGGGTCAAATAGCCTCATTCCACACTGTAGGGTTCCAAGAAAACTGATAAATCCCAGGGCCTGATAATGTAAAAGGAGATAGTTACAGAAATAGTGGAATGTTTTGGTTGCCATTTTCTGAAATTCTGCAGATTTTGGAATCATCCCAGCAGACTGGAAGATGAAAAATGTAATTCCGATATTTGAAAAAAGGAGGAAGTGAGAAAACAAGGAATTACAAACAGGTTAGCCTAACATCAGTAGTAGGGAAAGTACTAGAGTGTATCATAAAGGATGCTATAACAGGACACTTAGAAAACATCAATGGTGGGATCAGACAAAGGCAATGTGAATTTATTAAAGGGAGATGGTGTTTGACAAACCTACTGGAGTTTTTTGAGGACATAACTAGTAGAATAGGAAAGGGAGAACTGGTGAATGTGGTGTGTTTTCAGTAATGTTATCAGTAATGTTCAGTGTGTTTTCAATAAAGTCCCACACAAGAGGTACTGTGCAAGATTATTGGGGTTTGATTGGGATGATATACTGATATGGACTAGGAATTGGTTAGCAGCCTGAAAGTAGAGACTAGAAATAAATGTTTTTTCGGAGTGGAAAGTGGTGGCAGGTGTTCTCCAGGGATCAGTACTTGGGCCCCAATAATTCAGAATATTGATCAACAATTTGGATGAGGGAATCAATCATAATATTTCCAAGTTTGCTGATGACACACATCTCGGAGTCATTATGTGTGGTAAGGAGGAGGTACAGGGACTTCAAGATAATTTAGGCAACTTGATGGGCTCATGAAATGGTGGCCATGTGGCAGATGAAATCAAAATCAGCAAAGTATGAAAAGATACATTTTAGTTGGAAGGAAAAGAACAGCATTATAAATCAATGGATAAAATTCTGAAGTAGGTGCGGGTATAGAGTGAGCTGGGAATAGACTGTTTCAAGTGAATCAAATGATTAACTTAACAAATTAACTGAAGAACAAAAACTGAAGCTTGTTAATTTCAAGTTTCCACACTGGATTTGATGATGCTCTCCTGCCCCTTAAGATCACCAGTCATAAAAAGCTTCAAGTATTCCATCAGAATGAATGCTCCCTTTCCAAGGAGACCTGGGAAATAATGCAAACACAGAAGGAAGATGCGTGGTCCAGACAAATGACCCCCTCAGCAGGCCACTGCCTAGATACCTTAATAGCAACCTAGGCAGGTCTGAGAGCAGACCTACCAGGAAGTCTTCCAATAGCCCCATTCTACCCACGCCCACCCTCCTCTGCAGCATGTGGCTGAAAATCAGGTGTAGAGCAAGAGTGAACCCAAAGGTAGAGAAGCAGCCCCAAAGAAATAATAAGAGAGGGAATGCGACTTTGCATGCTGCTGGAAGATAGACTTCCCAATGCCACAAGAAATACAGCTTGCCTGGGAGCCTGTCAACCGACTCCACCCACAGTTGTACAGGACCCTCCACGCCAAATCCCTAATGGAGTGAGCTCTCCACTGGGGGACCCCTACTTCCAAAAACCCGCCATGACTTGTGTGAATAGCTGACAAGGGCCAAGGAAGCAGAGGGCACCTGGGGATGTTTGTGCACCAATTATTGAAGCTGGCACAGCAGGTGGTTAAATAGAAAGGTGGTTTTTAAATAGAGGCATAGAACACAAAAGCAAGGAAGTTATGATGAACCATTTTTAAAAAAGTTGTAGTCCAGCCTCAACTGGAGTTTTAAGGCCAATTCTACTCACCACACTTTAAGAAGGGGGTGAAGGCTTTTGAGAGGATGTGAAAAGATTTACAAGAATGGTTCCAGGGTTGAGGACTTCAGTTACAAAATTGGGGAATCTGAGATTGCTTTCCTGATAGAAGATAGGAGATTTAATAGAGGCGTTGAAAACCATGGGGGTTCTGGACAAGGCAGATGGGGAGAAACTGTTCCCATTAACATAAGGGTCAAGAACCAGATTTAAAGCAATCAGCAAAAGAACCAAAGTGATGAGAAGATATGATGATTTTTATCCAGAACACAATGCTTGAAAAGATGTTGGAGGCAGTTACAATCGTGGCTTTCAAGCATTGGTGAAGCACGTGAAGCGTAAAATGCTCTTGCAGAGAGTTAGCATGGGCTCAACTGGCTGAATAGCCTGCTTCTGTGCTGTGATTCTATAATTCTGTGGTCTTTGATTGATGGTCATTGTATGAGCTTGTGATGCTAAGAGCTGCCAATTTGTCGTTGTGTACAGAGCTGCCACCATCCATATTTTCACAGCCTACTTAGTTTAAAGAGGCTGCAGAAAACCAAAAGGTGGTCCAACAAGAAGGTGTTCTTGTCTTAAACAAGGCGTAGCATTTGCATGATGATGATTGAGTTCATGTTATATAAGTAAGACAAACATTGTTACTAAGACTATTGGGAGACTTAGAATAACAAAACTGTCCCCTTTGAAACACTTCACCCGCACTTCCCAGAATCTAGTCTACTGCATTCGCTGCTCACAATGTGGTCTCCGCTGCACCGGAGAAACGAAGCATAGACTTGGCGACCACTTCGCAGAACATCTACACTCTGCTCACAAAAAAGACCCTGAACTGTTGCCTGCCACTTCAACACACCACCCTGTTCCCTGGCCGACATCTCTGTCTCTGGCTTGCTGCAGTGTTCCAGCGAAGGTCAATGCAAGCTGGAAGAACAGCACCTCATTTTCCACTTGGGGACCCTGCAGCCCTCAGATTAAATACTGAGTTCAATAATTTTAGGGCCTAAACTCTCCCATGTCCCAGCCCCCTACCCCACACACCAGGCTTTGTTACCACATAGCCTGCCATTACACACCCCCTGTTGTTAGTCACTAACAGTCCCCATTAACAACTATTCACCCTCCCAGCCTGATCGTTAGCAACTCCTTGGTCAGTCCAACTGTCTTTATCTCTCTTTAGTCTCTATCCTATCATTTACTCCTTACCCCACCCACCTCCCTACTTTCTGCATATAAACTGACGGTCTCCCGGCCGCCATCAGCTCTGAGGAAGGGTCACCGGACCGAAACGTTAACTCTGTTTTCTCCTTCACAGAAGCTGCCAGACCTGCTGAGCTTTTGCAGCAACTTTGTTTTTGTCCCCTTTGAAATCCCAAGATGTTGTACCTTTCCTCATTTAAGCCCTTAAGAAACATAAGCTTAGGTGGAGATTAATGTAATCGTTAGCATTAAACCTTTCAGAACCTTTACATTGCACAATAGTGACACAAAATGCACTCTTATTATTAATTTATCGACCTTGCTTATCATTTCCAAAGTTTTTGGTTCACCAAGACAGTGGTGTGAAACAGATTAAAACTATCTTCTCTCTTTCTTGTATCCATGCACCTACTAAAATAACAAAACCCAATTAAAGAATTACTAAGAAAATGGTCATCATGCAATTCTCTACCCATATCAATGTTAATATCAGTATCCCCATCAGCAGAATATGTTCCTTTATTTCCTCCATTTTTTGCAGGTTTTCTCATTTAATACATGAGATGAACACAGATCCTCCCTATGGGTCCTAATCTTAAATGTGATATAGTTCCCTGATCGCTGGAATTGCTTGTAAATCAGGCAGAAGAATCCACTCCCCAGGTGAGTTTGTAAAGTGGGTATTGGAGCCGAAATCTGTCCCCGTTCCATCAAAGCCAAACTCAATCCTGAGATTCAGCAATGTATTCTGAATAGCAAGCAATCTAGAACAGGATTGCTGGGTTAGTCAGATATTTTCTAATCAAACTGTTCAAAGATATTATTACACACCTCTTGGGA